GGGCTTAATGCAATTTCGGCTTCGTCTTAATATTAACAAGTTTGCCTTGTAATGATAACTTTATTTTAATGTTACTAACTGTAGGTGCTCAATATAATCTTGCTTTGTGTTATGATAATAAAACTGGAGTAGGAAAGATGAACAAAAAGCAGTTGAATGGTATAAAAAAGCTGAATATAAACAAGGATATGCCAGTGTTCAATATAATCTTGCTTTATGTTATGCCAATGGAACTAGAGTAGAAAGAGATGAACAAAAAGCAGTTAAATGGTATGAAAAAGCAGCTGAACAAGGACATGCCAATGCTCAATTAATTTTGCTAATTGTTACAAAAATGGAACTGGAATAAAAAAGGATGAACAAAAAGCAGTTAAATTATATCATAGTGCAGTAAAACAAGCACATTTGTCAGTGCACGTTGAAAACAATAGAAATTATAGCCAAATGGCTGGACACTTTTTGACATTAGTGTTGTAACTAAATTATGTCAATTAGAAGCTAAAAAAAGGAAATGTTTATGCACAGTATATTCTTGGCTTATATTATGAAAATGGAATGGGAGTAGAAACAGATATTAAAAAAGCACTTGTACACGTGGACGAAAATGATAGAAGTTGGCAGTTCAGAAAGTACTTATTTTTTCCGCTATGATCGTTGTGTCTCTTTTATTTCATATTATTAATAAACGAGTAGTTCCTTTATACTCTGCGCGTATACGATTATTATTTCATTCTCTAGTATAGCTGAGAAACCATTAATCCCTATATCGTTTAGGAGTATTCTTGTCCTACAATTACCCTTGTTGCAATATTTGTTGTAGTAGAAACGCGTTTGTTATAATTACACATTGACCTCGAACCTATAGACCGTAATTAATCCCGTCAGTAAAGAAATAGTGACGATACTCGAGGACGATTATTTATCTAGGATTAATGTCTACGCATCGACGTTGGACCGTGAGCAAAACCTGGGTTTAAAGGTTACTAACTATTACTATAATTAGCTTAAGTAGGAGGAGCCACATCTCTGTTGGAAAAGAAGTTAAATTCCAGGCGTTAACGATTATCTGCTCTCCCGTGATTGTTGACACGACACAGAACTAAAAATACTTGCAAAATTATCAAAGAAAAAAATTGTGAAAAAAAAAAAATAAATAATAGTATCATAGGATTTCAGTTCTAATCCTAATATAGAATTGAAAGTAAAAATAGGGCAAATATAAATAAGTTTTGGTCTTGAATAAATGTGGCTGGCACTCTGCCAAACTTGTCGACTGTCCAATGTATCATATTGGCATCATAATCAGTGCCTTATTACTGTGAAGGCTAATATTAATGATCCTCCCTAATTTCTCCGACGGTGTTACAGAGAATATTTGATAAATAATAACAATAGCAGCAATAGCAACAGGAGCATCAAATACTTATAATGATAGAATGAAATAATTAATAAGCGTTGCTAAAAATAAGTTGATTAGTCCTTTCGAAATATATGTTCAATTCCTTTATTATTCTAATAAGCGAGTGGTTTTTTATATTCTGAAATACATTATTAATTATTAATTATTTAAGATTAGTGTGAGAACGCAGAGAGTCGTAAGTGTAAAGTCAGTGTTAAAAGTCACAAACTACACCCGAGATTTAACTATTAGTAGGAGAAACCACACTCCGTGCGAAAGTAGCTAAATTCCTTGCCGACGATTGTCTGCTCTCCCGTGCTGTGACGATGCGCTGGTGCTACTGCACCGTCGGGAACAATGCAGAAATTTAGGAGAGAATACGTCACCGTTTATGAACAATCATCTTTTCTGCTTAATCATATTTCTATACGTGACTGATTTTGTCCACCCTATTGGGAAGCGCCGCCGGCATATGACCCTGGGCCTGATGCTCATAAATACCATACAGGCGAGAAGTCGACAAGAGATGATAGGTACAACCAAGACGATCCATACGATTTTAGGAAATATTCTAAGGAGAGTAGTAGTGGAGCCAGTATATTCGGTAGTTGAGCAATCATTTACTTTACTGATCATTCCAAATTACGGTTGATATTTGTGTTGGCTGTTTCATTTACATTATTACTATAATACGATTCAATAAGTTACAAATAGAAATAATCTTTTTAAAAATATTAAACGTTCGTATTCAAATTAAAGATGTTGACTGAAAGTGACCTCCAGCAATGTATTAAATATCTAGATCCATCCACATTATTCATTCACATTAGGAACACCACATTAAACCCTCATTATTATGGTTGTCTTACTAGAACCACACTCATGTTCCTGTCAAGAATTGTCGATAATGCGTTTGACAATAAGGTTTATTCTCACACATAATAATACGAATCGGTAAATGGAGCATGACAAGTCTAAACACGAACGAATGGATTCAATAGTTAGTACTTGTATGCTATCTTTGGATCATGAATAAGCATATAATAGCATCACTCACCACACAGACAAAACAGTCACGATGCCACGATCCTTCAAGGCACTCATCATTTCCCCTTTAATTGGGTTTTCTGGCCAAAAGATTGGTTTTACCTCCTCTTTATATCTCCTAAGAAGCAACTTTGCCTTTTCCTGTCTCTCATTTTGTTCTTGTTCACAATCAGCAATACTATTAAGGCACCTAAGATATTGATATATTTTCCGATCGAAAGGTTCTACCTTACACTCGTCTAGAAACCTGTAATGCTCCAATCGGAAGGCTTTCGCTTGAAGTATTCATGCAATTTGTCTATCATTGTTTTTTGATATAGGATAATAATCAATAAATCAATAAATTTAGTCGGGTTATAAATACAAACCATGCGTGGCTCACTGGCTAAATCAGGAACAAATTTGGCTCAACCCCTGTTCCCTTAGCGGATTTATTGAATTTGATATGTGTTTTTTTCATAAAACACACTAATATTCACCGCAACAAAAAAATAAGCTTTTATTTGGTCAATTATATATTAATGTTATCTAATATTGATTTTCTTATATATTCTAATCTAGAAACATAGTATTTTCATTGTGATCTCTCCAAGTCCGAGCCGCCTATACTTTTTAATATCATCTATGAATTTTCGAACTCCATTAAAATTTCTCTCTACGCTTTTAACAAAGTTGTAGTTCTTGACTTTATGTTGTTCAACGATAATGTCTTTGGCTTCCGTGAGATAGCATTATAGTTTACGGAAGGACTTTTCACCTTCTTCGTCTTCATCGGCGGCTTTGATTACATATTAATATTAAAAACTGAGCGGTGGCAACGACGGACCTACTTGTTTACCAGCAAATTTGATCACAAAGAGTTGGGGTCTTTTTTAGCAGTGATGGTCCCTCTCAAGATAGACACCCCAAATTGTTATCTACCAATGAGCGATGATATCTTTTGTCGTATCATACGCAACAAATGATCTGCAGAAATTTGGGGGTCTAATTTCAAAGTCTGGGGTCTGATCTACATGAGTGACCCCTATATTAATCAACTTTAAACTTGCTGTAGTGAACGATTTTACTAATGTACTTGAAATAAAAACTACCAAGATACGTAAAGAAGGCCGCTGAGAAGATGCTTACGCAAAAATCCTATTTTGTGCAACCAGACCATTTACCATCATTAGCCCCATTTAGCTTTGGGAAAGAAAAAAATCTATAAAATTACAGATTTTTCTTTACCTTATGCTATCAAAAAGCTAGTACATAGTACTTCTGTTCACTGGGGAAAAATCACGTGTATGTTCTTTTTCAATATTTTATTTTTTCGATGCAATTACACATTCATATTAAAGCAATGGATTTTAATGCCCAGAAACAATAGCTATTTAGCCCAATTACAATACAATTATTATAAACATAATCCATAAATCGAAATTAAAAATCCAGAATATGGCCATATAAATGGCGCTTTTTTTGGTCGTCTTTTACGAGGTGAGGATTGCATTCTTTTGATAAATCCAAATCTAGAAGAAAAGAAATTAGCTCTATTAAGATAAGAGCAAGCAAAATATGTGTAAATACCTGATTTGAGCTCCCATACAGTTCCATCTCCTGATACACCCCCATAGCACTCCATAAGGCTTCTCTGATACTGCTTTGAAAAAATCACCAACAAACAACAATATACCAGTCATAGAGTCCCATCTGAATACACGTTCATAGCAGTCCAGAAAAGTAAGCCCGGTGACATTCCCCAATAACGATTATATGATTGAAACCGCATAGTGCAATTTCCATTACGTAATAACAGATATCATCTTTTCCAAGATCACCGCTTTGTATTTCTATATTATGTTACAGTATAATTAATGAATCGACTGTACTGAAATAGTAATGATGTTCTCCTAATATCACGTGAGACCGACTTATCGAGGGGTAATTTACATATAGCATCAAAGAAGGTTGGCCGACTTACAGCTTTACATATGTCGACCGACTTTTTCGAGAGATTTTAAATATTGAAAAAAAGGACTGAAAATTTTGACAAAACGGACTTACCGAACTTATCGAGTCTACCTATGTACGTGTATACCAATATTCTTGCGGATTTGTCATTAATTTTATTTATAGACCTAATATTCTTCATATGCTTTATAGTAACAATACCAGTATAAAATTTCTTTTTGTCTAGTTTTCATTGCTACTGTATATTAAATAGTCAACTATATTTTGAGCCGTAACTTTATTAGATCCTGTTAAAATCGTTTCTAGGAATTTGTACGTCAAATGTATTATTAGATGTAATCTGTGTACAAGGTGCATTAATTTCATTATTATTTTTGATATAATAATAAACAGATATTTTATGTCTTAATCCCCGTTCTACCTTCTGATTATAGGGAATTTTTGGCACGTATGTATTAGCTCCTGCTATTTCAGAACTAGTAGATGAGTTTGAAACTTGAAGTTGAGAATCGATTGGATGCTTTTTTGCTCATGGGGAATAATAGAGGAAGTATCTTGAGCTCGAAGTTTTGCTTCTCTTTTTCTTTCTCTTATTTCATTACTAGTCTGTTCTTATTATTATGTACCCGATCCTGAAAATCATCAATTTCCTTATCTTCTGGTGATTTCGAATAAGTGGTTCAGTGTATTGAATATCCGACTCCTGGTATACATCAGAATTGTCAGAAGCAGTCGCAGAGTGGTTAGATGTATTGTCTAGTATATTTTTAGCAGCGCTGGGATGGTTAAGATTATTGTTAGCAGGATAAATAGCACTTTGTATCTGCTCGAGATTTACAGAATCGATGTTATTATCCGCGTTAGAGTGAGCAATAATAGATGATGGAATAGGTGTTTGTAAAGTTACTGACAAGACCGGAGAAACTGAAGACTGTGAAACATTATTAATAGTTCGATTTTGCTTTATAATTTGTTTTAGTTTGGTATTTTCGATCCTAAGATTAGCAATTTCTTCTATAATCTGTTTTAATTTAGTGTTTTCAGCTTCAAGTTTAGTAACTCGCTGTTTCAATAATTCAAGCTCCGATGACATGTTTGATAATAATTTTTATATAAGATAAATATTTATTCAAAATTTCGAATTAATAAAAATTATGTGCGCGTTCCGAAACGGAACGCCGATCACTTTCACCAAAAAAAAATTCTCAATCATATGTGGCAAAACATTAAAATAATTCATGCAAAAGTAAACTGATTATGTATGCGAAATCGAGCCACTAGGGCCAGCTTTATTGATACAGCAAAATAAAAATATATTGCGGGAGTATAAAATGTACCAAATTAACTTTATCTACGCTTTTTCGTTATTCGTTTTTTCACGTCTTTTTTATTAATTCCTTTCTTTGAAGTTTCCCCACTTTCATCCTCTCCCAACGTTGCATCACTAGAACGCTTCAAATTACGCCGTCCTGAACCCATGTTGCTCCCTGATGCTTCCCCAATTTCGTTGTCTCCCAACGTTGCATCACTCTTTTTCGTCTTCCGTTTTTTCACATCTTTATTATCCATTCCCTTCCTTGATGTATCCTCATTTTTATCGTCTCCCGATATCGCATCATTAGATCGTTTATTCGCGCCTTTATTATTAATTCCCAAGTTGATCTCTAGTGCATATTGGGTTATTTTATTAATCCATCCCGGAATTTTCTGACAATCTTCGCCTTTAGCTGTCTTGTATTTTTGCGGAGAGAATTTTTCAAAGACGTCCGGTGGCACGACAAAATATAAATTAATGTTATTCACGTCTTTTCTCCACGTGAGCAAGCTGTTAAGAACATTAAGTCCTTTAATCTTGTACAACCTGAGTTAATATACATGTGCTAGCAGAAAAACTATGAATTCAATTATATTCATTGTCCCTTACCTTTATGCCATGATTTTTGGAGACTGTAATTTGATACAAGGCCAGGTCATTGTTGTCAAGACTAAAAGAATCAATTGATGCAAATATTCTTGATTTTGGTCTGTTATAGTACTCCTGACATGCTTCATTTAATGTCATAAACAAATTACATTCCAGCTTTTCAATATGTTTTTCGGTAACCTCTTGTTACGACGAGTCGGTCTGCTGATGCAGTCGAAAAGTCAGGTGATAAAATCTTCCTCCGCAGTCAAAATACTACCCGCAGCGATCTAATTTTAATACTGTCACACTAGAATTCAAATGTAGTAATTTTCCGTCACGGAAATTGGTGGCAGTACAAGATACAAAAAATAGCTAAACTTAGTAATTCTCCGTCACTGAAACTGGTGGCAGTACAAAATATAAACAACGGCTAGATATAGTAATTTCCCGTCACTGATTTTGGTGGCAGAAGTCTTATATAAGTAGCGCGTCTCTCATCATCAAAACATCATGTTGTTAGTTTGTTGTTCGGTTCGATACATTGATTGAAAATAATCGATATAATAATCCACGGATTTGTTCTTATCCAAGGAAATAAAATTATTGCGAATTCCTTTTGATACTAAATTATATACTATCCATATTTTATTATCTTTTTAGTTTATCGACGTTGAATATTGATACTTGCCGGGTTGACGTCTGAGATAGCTTGCTTACAGACTATTCGCAGATACTTCGGTTAGCGATATACCCGTTGAGCAAGATACACCTGATTAAAGAGTGCACGCGAGTCGTATTAATATTCAATTAAGATCCTCCCGTTTATTCGTCTAATTAGTTATCGTTTTAATTAAAAGTGACGAGATACCCGACTAGTCAAAACACTAAATCGAAGTCCGCCCTGTTTGAATTAAATATAAATTATTCCCCTTCGATTCTGTAGCAATATTGTAGTTGTAACGATATTGTTATAGGTACCCCTTACTTAGAAACGAGTATAGTTTTACTTCGTTTAGGGAGTTAGTTAAGCGCGCATAATTAAATATAGTCACTTATAAATTTGATTCAGTCGTAAAGACAATCGCTATTAGTAAGGGTAGCGATCTGAGTTAAATTTGGTAACATCCCCCTGTCGGTGAACACACCTACGCGACAGATCATTGGCTCTCCCACCCAAAGAATACACCGACCGCAACACTCTGAGTTATCATTATTTAGGCACCGTATCCTAAATGTACCACCATTTTGCAACTCCCGATGGGCAAAATCTTCGAATAGGTTTCCCCGAAATCCAGCAATCTTTGGAAATTCGTCACTGCACATAATTAAATCTCGAGCGCTACTCTTTGTTCTAATTTCGTATGCCTGAATAATTTTTTCAAATGTTTTTGTAGAAGCAAAATGATACACTACATTTGTAAATGTTGGATCTACCTCAAGATGTATAAGCCTACCACTAATACACCTGCAGGCATGCCTGACTTATCAATGGAGTTTACACAGCTTTCTAAGTCAGCTTCATCAATCAGTTTTTGGTATTTCTGCTGATATGTTTTATCATCCCACTTTGAAAGAACTGACCTGGTACAGGTCCCCACTTTTCCAGAAGGGTCTCAAGTAATTTAAGTGTGAGCTCTTTGTCTTCATAATTTTTCTTATTCTTATATTGAAGGGTCCAAAGCATGGTGATTTCTTCTTGATCCCAAACTGGCATAAAGTATTCAGTAAAACCTGTCCACTTGATAGCCTCATTGAATCTTTCTACTCTTGGCGATGTGAGCAGGATCATATAGGCTGAATATGGGGGTAGGCTAAAGCGGAGCAGATTCTGTGCCACAGCTGCTGCAGATCGCCACAATCATCACAAGCGCCACCACAAA